TCTGGTAAACAAATGACGTCATTATTTGTTTATAATGTGATTGTCGATCACTGGGTTAACTGTTCTTCAAGTGTCCCAACTTATTCGTTTCGTACGTACTTCAAATTGTGTAATTTAATAGGTTGATAATCATGTGTAGATCTACAAATTATTATTAGAAACTGGCCAATCAAACGAACTTCTGCCTATGAACCGCCGGGTCTATTATCTATAAGGGAATCGAAGATAATCCCTGGATACCTAAAAATGAGTATAGCACTTGCGAAAAAACATTCCTCACATAAGAAGGCCCTTTCCGACGAGGTAAGATTTAAAAATCTTATGGGCAAATAAAACACCTATTTTGAATGATGATTACGCAGGCAGTGGTACCATTCTGAGGAAGAGAACATACCTAATGTTCTATTAGCCCACTCACAGGAAAAATTTTTCCTCGGCAGTGTGGAGAATATTAGGCTATAGAAATATGTTCAATTCTATGTGGTTGCTTTAGTATCACATAAAGACTTGTTTGCGTGTCGGAGTAGCTAACCACACGTGAATAGGGCTTTATTATCATCTGACGGCGCATGCGCTTTTAATAATTATATTTTTCGACTATATAATCGGGAATTAATTAATTGTATGTCTGCGTTAGTTCGAAATTTTCTACAAAACTGTCTATAGCTTACATAAAATAGGAGCGGTAAAAATTAATGAAGAGGGGCCTCTTAAACCGAACCGAATCCAAAAAAAATATTAATGCACTAAAGGGTAAACTTACCAATGATTCGGCACTACTTAAGAAGAATATGGCAGTACTTTACGAGAAATTACTTTTCGGTGTCAATCAGGTTTCTATCTCTCAGTTGAACTGGAAAGAACCTCTTGCAAGCCAAGTGATAAGTGATGATTCAGATCTGGTACGGCAATTACCAGATCGTCAAAAAGAACTTTTTATGGTGAATACTAATACTCTATAAAATTTCAATGAAAAATTTGCTTAACTCATTAATTTATGTTATTATTAGAAACTAAAAGATGATATGGTCCCTTCGTCACTTTCACAAATCATACGAGATAAATGCAATGAATTCGTAGAAGACTTTGTCGATAAAGATGTGGATACTTTACCAAGAAAACTTAAGCATGATGGATCATGGAAAGAACCAGATGAGAAGCTTACAGAGGTTGCATCAGGAATTTTGCATACTCTTAATGATGCATGGAACAATCCTGCATTCAGTCCTGAGTTTGCAAAATTGCAAAGCGAAGGTACTTACGTGACCAATATAGTAGTACCTGCCATTCGGGCTTCATTAAAGGATCTTCCTTTTGGAAAATCTACCTTTGTCAGCACGTGAGTAATTAAATTAAAAAATGCCATCATTACAAACTTTTTTAATTTTTTTAAATCTTTTTTAGTGCAGAACTTCAAAGTTCTGCCAGTGCAGATAGACGAGGTGAAGGACGAGGAAGACGGCCTGATATTATGTTTGTAGTAAATTGTAGGGAGAAAAATTATGAGCTCATGTATTCCGAATGCTCGCGTCTGTTTTGCACGTTACAGAAAGATAAAGACGATGAAATAAAGCTATGGCGTGAAGCTAACGACGGAATGTACTGGGCTCACAAATCAACTAAGCCTGATCAAGATGAATTTGGAATCATCGCGATCCAAGTAGCAGGATCAATAATTCGATTAAACGTCCTTATTAGGGATGTGATTAGCGTGCACTATAGTTGTTAGGCGAAACCTAGAGGTTTCTCCAAAAAAAAATTTGAAATGGCGAAATGGCGAAACTGGCGAAAGGTGGCGAAACTGGCGAAAGGTGACGAAACTGTCAAAAGGTGACGAAACTGGCGAAAGGTGGCGAAACTGTCAAATGGTGGCGAAACTAGAAAAAGATTAAAAAACTAACAAAAAGTAGTAAAACTGATAAATAGTAACATTATAACTCGACCACGCCAGCCTACGTCAAAAATTTCATGCACAAATGCATATAAATTTGAAAAAAACTATATTTGACCCTCACTAATAAATGTAAACAAAAAAATTTTGTTTATGATCATGCATATATATTTGTCTATTGCTAGTAAAAGGTAATAAAACTATGACTTAAATAAGAATAAAAAATGATCTTAACAAAACTATTAGATGCAATAAAAAA